ATATAAATATCTATTTTTCTTATATATAAAAAAGTATATAAATATAAGGAAAATCTGCCTGGTGCTGTGATCAAAAATGTTTTCTGCATAATTTCTTTGCAGAAAAGAAAAGAAATAGTTAATGCAAGGGTAATTTCAGTTTGCAAAAAAGCCTAGAAAACTATTTTACTTTTCCTTCTATGTTTTCCTCTTTTGGTAAAAGACTCTCCTTTTAGTAACAAATTGACAACATGAAAATACATCATTAGAGAATAAGCGGTGTATTTTCTAAGGAACGATACTTACCAGAAGTCACAGTGCATGATCTAGTTTTATTGGCCACCTTCTGTAGAACAGGTTTAGGAAGACTAGTGTTGCACAGGTCCAAAAAACGTTCTCTTGTAAGTTCTAACAAATTTTTAAACTCAGGAGTAGAAATAACTGGAGGCTGCTCAGTCAATTCTTTTCTCTCTAGAGAAGGAAAGAGAAAGAAAGAAAAGCTATGGCACTTGCTAAGTAACAAAGAATAACTGGAGCCTGCTAAAAAACAACCAAACAAATCCCCACTCCAAAAAAAACCAAAAAACCCCACAAGTTAACTTGACACTTACTATTGTACCCATAAGCAAGACATGGGTGGTTTATTCCACAGGCAAGTGAAAAAGGCTAGCAGTGAGAACAGCTGAAATCGCACGTGCATCACCTTTTTAGAGTCCTTTAATTTCTGTGTATGTGCATTTCTGAGGATATCCAGGTTTGAATCCCCCACAGACAAACATCTGGACCTGCTGAGCCTAAACATGAAAAGCTCCTGTGTGAGGAGCCTCCTATCCACATATTTTTACCACTGTTGCAGGAGTGCGGCTGCAACATAACTGATAGCCTGTTCCTGTCTCTTTGGTCAGAATATCAAAGGTCAGGTAATTCTGATATGGTTTAGGATGACTAGCAAATCCCAACTGCTCCTATTCACTCTTCATCCTAACGGAAATGGGTGACGCACTCAAAACAAACTAAAACGCAAGCTCTAAGGCAGCCCCAAGCTCAGGGTTAGAGTAGACACAGTTGGAGAATGACTGCAAGCTGATGAGGGGTGGGGGGTGGAAGACAGGACTATTAACAAAAATCTTATTTTCCTTAAGCTGGTATTCTGCTAATGATAACACCCTTAAATTATCTTCACAGTATGCCATTTTCAATAATCTAGCCAATCTCTCAGAAGCCTTTTCTGTTTTAATTGAGTCTCTTTGAGCAATGGACTTAGACGGAAAAAATCAGGACAGTCAAGTGTACTTCTCTGCAAAGTCAGGAAAATCTACGGAGGATGACATTTCAGTTATTATTATGAATGATGTATCATGATAAATGTAACAAATCTCCAGTGCATACTTCTCTGCTGTTTAAGACTTTTGCAAGAAAAAAGAAAATAAAAAACCCTGAGAACTCCAAGAGAGAATTCTTATTTTTGTAGAAGGCACATCCAGCAGTAAGGATTTTTTTTTGGAAAAAAGTATTAAAAATACTGAAGCAGAGAAAAAGTTAATTACCACAGAATTATTCCAAAACTATGCTCAACCTTTCAGAGTATTAGTGTAACAAACACCCACCAACTTTCTTTTAAGTTCAGCATTCTCTTTTCCTCAGTATTTAAGAGTCATTATCTAACATACAACCATGGATATACCACAAGAAGTTTCTTTTTAAAGCTCCACTTTTTTCTCCGCAAAGTGATCAACTCGCCTAGGGTTTGTAAGGTGAGCTGTCACATGCAGTTTGAAATAAAGACTTTTTCAATACTAATTTGAGAACTACCAGCACTCTCCCCATTACTTACTGAGATATTCCTTCAAGGCAAATGCTTGGAGATGAGACAGTTTCTTTTCTCTCTGTATAATCTCCTCTCCACAAAAATGTGGCAGAGACTTGATAAAGTCAGCAATACAAAAGCCTGTACAGATTACGAGAAATCTATTATTAAGATTCTCTCATGGGACTTTGGATACACCAAGTCAGTACTTCTTTTAAGACGACAAACACAGCAGACATTCAAATTCAAAGCAAACAACGAGACTTTCAAATATGGCTAACCATAAAAAAAAAAAGGAAATTACAATTGAATTAAGACACCAGGGGGATAACTTGGAATAGAAGTCTGACCCGTATTTTCGAATTTCTGTACAAAATGAATATAATGGCAACACAATTAACATGACTGACATTTAAAGAGGGTAAAAAGATCCTAAGTTTGACACCAGGAAAGAAAAGTTTTCTCTCAACATATGGTCAAGGACTTTCAGTCTTCTGACACCACACTAATGGGATTTTAATTAGGACAAATGGTAAGCAGTCAGACGTATCACACATGGATTTATTTCAATAATAAGGAAATAAGAGGATAAGATGCACGTCATGGAGCTCTTTTTCGTTGTCAGTGTTATTGAGAGCAAATACACAAATTAGCAGAGTTATTACTACATGTAGTTGTAACAGGACAGCTACTCTAAGATAAATCTCTACATACATGCTCTTACCTGGTGGAGCAGCTGATCATCTGCTAGCACATATCCTAACCACTCTGCAGTAATATGGACATCTCCCAAGTAACTGAAGACATGATCATGAATTCAACTTGCCTGACAGCCTGGCTGTTTTTATTTTAAATCATCAGTGAAACAGGCTTGTCAACAGATAATTGATTAGATTTTAGGCACTGGCTGGTCAGTCTTTACACTAAGAATACATACTTTTTAAACTTGAAGTTTTCTGCAAATCTTATTTGCATTAATATTACCTGGCTGTCCCTGTACATTAAAACAGTTACAACTAATCAGTTATGAGAAATGACTGACTAAATCATCATGTCATTGATTTTATAAATATGGTAGTAGTAAACTGTGTGAATAAATAAGCTTTTATTATATTTTTTATCAATTTGAAAAAAATATTGCTGAAAGAACAGAGATATGAATCAAAATGTAATATTCCTCCTTGTTTTCTCCCTTGTAACAGATTGAAATGAATAAAAGAAACATATACATTTTAGTAGCATTTGCCTGTATTCAGATACTCTTAAATAAATAAGTAATAACTCTTACTCGACTCTGTTTCTTCTGCTTTTGTCTTTAGCTTCCCATTTACTGCAGCAAGAGCAGCCATACCATTGATCTGGCTAGCTGAATGAATCAAGGTTGCTTTACATCCTCCAGAGCCATTACCTTGTATCAAGAAATAATATCGGCAAGATTCTCCTTTCAGTTCAATTTCTGGAACTTAGAAAACATTAGGACATAACTGTGAAACACCCCCAGAAAAACAGCTTTAAAACAAACTATAATCCACCATCAAAATTCTTTCACTTGCTCTCTTCTGTTCTGTGAGAAATCTTACTAACATCCTTTTAGGAGACCCACTAACTACAGCTGATATTTACCCCTTAAGAAGCTACAAACTGAAGAACATGCAAAACAAATGAGCTAAAGCAGCAGAAATGAGTTGGATTACACTGCTGGCTTAGAGCTAGCGTGTTACCAGCACTGAACTCCTGTGACCGCTGCAAGGACCAGCTTTCTAACGCAGGCTACAAAGTACACCTGGAAACTCTAACCACCAACCAAGAGAAGTTCTTTAATTGGTTTTAGTAAAAGGCAAGCCTTTAACTGGCAAAGTTACGTTTCTACCATGAAATAACAGTTATGCAAACTGTGCCACATATGATTAGAGAAGGGTCTGTTCTGCTAGGTAAAACCAGGCATTTTTGCATACATGGATTGAAATAATGGTAAGTGTTCACTGGAAGAACATACATCTGTAGAGGAAAAGGAAATACACACTCTTCCCAAGGAAGCTGCGTTATTCATTATAAGAGTTTCACTCACTGCTTTACACTTGTGCATAGCCTGGGTGAGAGATAAACACCTCCTATTTTTAAACACTGGCATATAGTATGCAGTTTTGAAAATAAATTAATGTAGGATTTGATAGTAACAGTGAAAGGATGAGTTTGCTCTTTTTTCACACAGAAAACGTTTTATAGTACCTCGGTAGATGTAGAAATTGAGAGAATGAATACTTCTTGATGTAAGTCTTAAAAGCTAAGTTTTAAAAGTCAAATCACTTAATAAGATATTTGCAATACTGTCTCAATAAATAACTCAAGAAGAATTTGACATTTATTAGTATTACAAATTTTTGTTATAACAAATATAAAATATTCCAGTGTTTCTTGAAAAGTTTAAGTTGGAGGGGGAAGGGAAGAGAGGGGAAATCGCACTACCTCAATATATAAATCCAGGGAAAGAAGAAAGAAAACAACAAGAAAGAAATAAAGATTCCAGACATGTTTTCACTATTGTCCTGTTCCCCATTCCCCTAGTCGTTTGAAATATTTTCCTCTTCCAGTTTATCTTGGCATCTCAAAGCTGATTCCTCATGGGAAAGCTTTTATTTGTCATTTTAATCTTAATTAGTGTTTGAGAACTACCAATTCAAAGAATTACACCTTCCCACAGATTGAAGAGATGAAAGATTTGCAAATCCTTAATACAGTCAGATTAGTGGTAACCACTAAAAGAATCGTTTTCAACTAAACGAGCAAATACGTTTAAATGGCCATGTTTCTCCTCCTATTCTAAATTTTGCTCAAGAGGCCTAATACGAACCTGTTATGTATTACTGATCACATTACAGTTAACACTTGTAAAAAACCCTTCCACTGGAGCACAGGACAAAGAAGATCTTGCAGACGCTAGGGATCTTGCACTCATTTCACTGCATCAGTAGTACCTCTCCAATACAATACAAATGCTGCTGCTGTGACCAGGTCTATAATCACACCCTCTCTGCTTTACCACCTCCAAACATGCAGAGATCATTTTACATCTATATACTGCCAGCATGCACTCCACAGAATTAAGCTTCTCGCCCTGTTATGCAGCTCTTCCTAATTCCTTTCAACTTTCTGCCTATCCAAAAAGCTGAAAGACTATCAGTCTGTCAGCTATCCTCATCTGCATACTTGTTTATAAATGCTATCTTCAGCTGGCAACAGAAGTCACTGTTCCTTGGAATCTGCATGAATTATATATTAGACCAGTCTATAAACAACAAAATCATGTAAGAAGGCAGAATCCTACCTCTTATCCTGTCCTAGATAAGTACTTTAAGCACTGGGCTATGACTAAGCTCCTTTTAGCCTGATGTTTCCAAATCCCTACAAACCTCAGAGTCACTACTTGTACACTTGTAGGGCATACATACTGGCTAACTGAGAAACTCCGCTTTGTCTTGATCTGCACTGATTCTGTTCTCTCACTTTGTGAACTGAATTTCTAAGCATTGGCACACTGCCTAAGAGGAGTTGGCTGCCATAGTATCGTCCCATAAGGAAAAAGGAGCACATTCTCCATCACTAGTTAAGCACAGTGGCTCTCGGGTGAATGGAAGCATCCAGCATTTTCTGATGTTCTTTATTTTCCCAGGAAGAGGTTGAAATTACATGCAAGTGCACTGAAGAACCTCTGGAAATGCTTACATGAAAAGGGAAGCACCTAAGTGAAGCACAGTGGATTTCCATCTGCAGAAGCAAACCTCTTTGCCCATGGATTGTACAATCACCTTAGAAAGGTGTGTGGAAGCTGGATCCTAGCTGACAGGACAGAAATCGTTTAAAGGAGATGCATTGTTTCCCTAAAGCTTGCCATGATGTTATTATCAATTTTCCTCTACAAGCCTGTGTAGCTGAACTCACATTCACCAAAACCTTTTGTGTCAACGAAGATTACAATCACTGACTTAATTTCACTGGAGTAAAAAAAGGCATCCCAAATATACAGAAAAAACCCACCACATATATATATATCATATAGATATAACCACAATGAAATATACCTGTAGTCATCTTCCTTTTACCTACCAGTAATGACCCTGGGCTTCCTAGCCATATATTCCTTCCATTTCTTTGCACTGAGCTGGGCAGGGGATGGGATCACTGCGCTGCTTACATTACATGGCAATGTAAATAAAGCTCCCACCTAAGTAATGAAAGCAAATATAATACATGCAATATTACTGAAACCTGGTTTACATTTCATTCCTGAGTTACTGATTTGGTATTACTGCAAATGTACTTCAATTGAAGGAAAACATCTTTACTTAACACTTCTGTCATTTATATCAACTGAGAAGGAACAGCATGTGACACAGGCTGTAAAAGTTGTGCTTATTTTTTACTCCAATTGAGAGACTGTTAACTGCTGAGTTTCTATTTCATAAATAAAAAGGTATTTGTTACCTATTATAAGTCTTTCAATAATCTGGCTAAAAACACTTCTGTAGAGTAGTATCCAGAATGAAAAGAGAATTCAAAGACATAGTCGGCATCAGTGACTCTGCGTTCCTTTGAAAAACATGTAAATTTTTTTCCTCCCTACGTATTATCCTTTTCAATTAGTCAGATGCTGGACTATGTTTGTGTATGTACGTAAATTTCAGCCCAACAATCACTAATATAAAAATGCATAAGTATTTGAATACTCAAGCAACAAAACAATTAGCTTTTACAGCTATTAGAAAAGCCTATAAAATGTGTAATATTTCCTGTAGTACACTGAAAAAAAAAAAATCCCTACGAGAAATTGTTATGTTGAAAACATATTCTCAGGCTACTTTTTAGCATCTGAACACGTTGAATTGAATGTCTTTTAACTGTTTTGGTTTTTTTCTTCAAAAGAATTCATAGAAAGGCAAGCTCTTGAATTGTAAAAGACATTTGACAAAATGTTCAGAATCCTGATGTAAAATGAAAATTACCTGCGATATTTACCAATATAAAACTATTTCAAAAGATATTTTTGGTACAGCACTAGAAAAACGATTTCTTTCTTTTCTGGCTGAGTGTAATGGAGAATGCAGTGGCAGTGGAGCAAAAATGTTACTAAAAACCAAGCTGAAGATGAAACATGCAGACTGATGATGGAATACCATCTCCATAGTAAACAAGGAACATAAGTTATTCATTATAACTGTATCAACATTTTCACTGCAGGATCTGTTTTGATTGGCATAGATTTATTTTATAAAAACTAAAAAAACCCCACTTTCCTAAAAAAGCATACATCACCCTAAACATTCAGGGAAAAAAATCTTCAAACTAATCCTGTGGCTATGAATACTCATACTATCATTCCAAGGGAAGGAGAAAAAAAAAAAAAAAAAAAAAAAGAGTAGGCTTGTAAATGTTTCAAGAACTCTTTTTATCCAAAATAAAAAGGAAAAGCAGAATATGGATGCGCAAAATAAAAAAGCTTACCACTTTAGACTCGTTAGATACATTTTGTAAGCAGCACACATACCTACCTTTTGCTACAAAAACAGCTGAATTATGATAGAATGGAAGTTATCTGGGAGGATAGGATTAAAAATTACAAAATGTTTTAGGATATCAAAACTTAGCTAAGGAAAAAAGAAAAACCTTCAGTGGGCTTACAACTTGTCAGGACCTGTATAGCATGCACCTTTAAAAGCCAAATTTGCTTCAGAACTAAATACTGAAGGAGCTTACACAGAAACTATGTTTAAAAATATTATTCTTGTATCTTTTATGAGCGATACAAATATCTTCATTTTTCTGCTATATCTAAATAAAAATAACTTTTTACCTTCCCAGAGAAAGAAGAAATCTGATCCAAAAGCAGTGACGATGTCTCCTTGATGCTCTTTCTTGTCAGGCTCCTGAACAGAAGAGTTTAAGGAACCTCACCTTCACAAAGAACTGTATACATCTCTACTTTGCAAATCATGTTACCATCATATTTCAAATAAGGACCACAAATGTCTAATACTTGATATGCAAGTACCACAAAATATATTAACCTCACTTTTCCAGGCAATGTGGTACTTGGAAATGTTACATGACGAAATACACCACTGACATCTTTAATATAGGCAGGCATAACCAGATAATATATTCAAAATCCTGCAGGCTTACACAGCCTAAGCTACCATTCTTACCCCAAGACTAGTACCAAAAGTACATAAATTTGAAAACTAACAGGAACGCACCTGTTTCAAACTAACAGGAATACACCCATTATCAGGTTCAAGAGAAAATTCCTCTGCTACTGCTTGCCACATATTTTACACATACACAATAAAAACATGATTGGTGGAAAAATGTTTCTATATTGTGAAGTACACTAAAAAAACCCCAAGCCTTACTCAATAATGTATACAAACTTACACAGCAGTAAATATTTCTCTGTTCTTTCCCCCCAAATAGCATACACATCAATAGACAAGTATACACATCAATAGACAAAGTATATATGCAATAATATCAAAAATAGCTGGTTATTGTAAGTGTAATTTAAATTTCAACATAAAAAAATCCAGTTGTGAAGAATCACTATGACTATTTCAGCAGGCTAGAATGGAATGAGTCCTTGCTAATCCTCATGTGTTGCTTGCATGGGTAGCTCCTGATTGTTTTCTTTCTGCTATAAACCATTAGCAGTAGTAGTTTAGACCCTTAGAAAAGGATACAGATTGAATTCCAGATCAGATATACAAAAGGAAGGTAGATCAGAGAGCACCACCATCTGTAAAAACTCTAGCGCAGGACCGTAGTAATGAAAAACCTGAAAAGAGATCAAATCGAAAAATCTGTAACACTAGATATGATGTTATCCCAGTGGAACTTCCTCGGGTGTTTTGCTGGAGGCATTTGCCTTACAAGTATCTATGAAAGAGGTATAAAGGAATATAAAGAGAAAAACATTTCACAATACTATATTAAACATAATTATATAAAAAACAAGGAAGGTATCTAATTCTGTTTAATAAAACTTACTTTCTAGAATGTCAGCCATGTGCATCAAATAAGTTGTAACTCTTACCCAAATTCAAAGAAAAATAAAATCTACCAGGAACAGACAAATGCAAGATGTACATATTTTAACAATGAAAATAATAATCTTTTCGCTGCTATCAATTTTCATAAACACTCATTTTTGCTTTCATCAACAAATATGATTCTGGAGTTCCAATCAAATATCTATTTCCAATGCAAAACATGAAACAGCAACAGTAATTTAAAAAAAACAAAACAACAAGCCTTTAGAATGAAGTAGAAAAGGTTAAATAAATACAGAATTCATAAATGAATTACATATTTTGAGTATTCAGATTGAACAAAATCTCAATTTATACTTGAAAAGAAATTTGGTATCACATTCCTAAGAACAAACAGATGAAATTTTAAGGACCTGTCTTGAGAACACACATGAACAAAGGAAGTATTCCTCAATCTTATGCAATCGTTACTTTTAATGTTTAATTTTCAACTCTGACTAAGGTTTCCCCAATTACTAATTTCCTCAGGAAAGTAAAACAGATGAATTCTAGTAGCTCAAAGAAAGATCAAGAATAGTGCTTGCCTCTGGCAAAGCATCAGTATTCCTCGATTGTTGCTCTTTTTTAACTGCAAAGCAAGAACTTAAACATGAAGTGCTGAATGTCTTTGCTGAAGTGCTCTTCAAACAAAATTCTGGAAACCTAACTTCTGATCCAAACTGGAAAAAAAAAAAAAAAAAAGAGAGAGAAAATAAATGTGTCAAAAGAAAGAGAAAAATTACTTCTATTCAGCCAGTTACGTATACTGTTATTTTAAACAATTAGTACTATATTGGTTTCCAGCAGTTCTGTAAAACTTGGTAAAAATATTTGACTTAGGTAACCAACTACTATATCCAAAACCTTAATACTGAAAATGTAAACAAAGTCTTTCACAATCACAAAGCTATCAGTCTTTGCTGAAACATTAGACATGTGCTTGCAACAATGACATACAAGGTTACATCATAATAATTTGTAGATACAAACCAATGTAATTTTGTACAAGAAGTTCTGAGGCAAATATTCCAGAGGGGAGTATTTCTGAAATTCAAATCTCAATCCCTTAATCTCATTTATCCTTTCATCATGCTAAAAAGCAAGTTGTCTGTCCATCCCCCCCGATACATTGCACATTACCTCTTCAAATTACATTGTCGAAACCAAATTTGGCTTGAAGCGTAAAATGCACTGTACAAGCCATGCTTTAAATGAAGTACATAGATGCTTTAAAAAGATAACCATGGCTGAAAAAAATTATTTTACCTTTCTTTCCCATATCTGAATCCTTCCTCTCCAGAGTTCTTTTAAATCAATAATATTCATGACATTATCTGAAGACACAAAGTCTGCTGATAGATAATCTGCAATCTTTTGCCAGCTACTGTAAAAATAAGGAAGAATTCATATTACCAAATTTAGTTTTACAAATTAACATGCAGTACAATTTGACTGAATTTGCCTATTACCTCTTAGCACTGAATAGTCTTGTGTATGTTAAGACAGACATATATAGCTCTATATTCCACAAAGTAAAAAAATATTATAGAATTGCTGGTTTCAGCTCTGTAAAGGAAGTTGTTCATATGGTCCATGAACACGACAGCAAAGAACTTTGTCAGACATCAAATAAGAGCAGCAATGGCAATCTGCAGGCATACCATGGTAAGGCTGGGTCCTAGAAGTTGGAGGAAAGCCAGGTAGCCATCACTGGCCCACCTAGATGGTTTGTAGTTAGCCGTGTAAGTAGAGATATGACTACAGCACAAGTATTACTCAAATTCAACAACAGAGAGAGAGAGAACAGCCAGCATCTGTGGGTCCTACTGGCAATCTCTCTTCTAAGAGAAACCAGCACCATCAACAGAAAAGGAAGAATACGCAAAAGAACTTTCATCAGGACACCTGTATGTCCAAATGGCCTAATTTTACATAAAAGGCAGCAGAAAAAAATATTCAGTCAAAAGCTGGCTGCACAGGAAGATACCAGTGAGCACTGAGATCAAGTGCTCACAGAAGTCACTACTATAAGTTTATCTTCCTCTGTATACCTTAGGAAAATTCTACATGGCAGGTATACTGCTTCTTCTATCCAAGGACTGAGCATTCAACTTTTTAATTTTAAACAGTTTTATTAACTTAGGATTAAGCTTAACCACATATTCTATGAAGCAAAGGACAAATCAGACACTGTTTTTTTTCTCCCTTAAATATAATACCACAGGTAATACAAAATTCAAAGTATAACCAGCACAGTTATATATTCATGTTACAAAAAAACCAGAAAAGTGTAATCAATAAGTTATTATGTAGCATAGTACATCTTCAAAACATAGTATGCACACTGAAGCCACTAGTGATAGAAAGGAAAGAAAAAATTTTTTACCTTCTGCTCTCATAGAAACAGGAACTTCAGAGGACTTGAATTTTGCCTACCCCTCCAGTTAGGGCATGTATTTACAATAAATCAGCATGAGTAATTCCTCCCCTCTAACAATAACAGAAGACAAATCTATGTATTTTCAAAGTATATACACGTAAAGTACTCAAGATGCTGTTTTTACTTTAAAACATTAACACAAAACAAGAGTGACCTTTGTTTATAGACCCAGAATAAATGGCATACCCTTTAGAGTCATTTGCCGCAATAGTGACTTGCGCAGAGTGCCATTCTCTCAGGTGTTTCAGAGCACCGATAACAGGTAAGCAATCTTTCAACTTGGGTCCATCGCATTCAACAGCCTTCAGGATTACATCAACCATTGCTCTGCCTGTAAAAACAGTTCTACGTGACCCAAATTACCACTATTCAGTACATGATTCAGACATTGAAATAGAAAAGTACTGATTATCACCAACTGCACTGAAATGGGCTTAAGATCAACTTCAAGTCATTCCAGAAAGATTTAAAACACTTTTCACACATTTTAGCTCATCTCTTGCTGCTCCTCTTAGACTAACACAAAATAAAGTATTTTGCCATTCACTTAGTTACAGCAATTCTACACCTTTTTCCTTTCTCACTCAACACTGTATTTGACAGATCAGAGTTGTCTCCAGGACAACTACCCTATGTCATTTTCCCCCTTTTCACACCTCAACTGCTATTTCTCATTCTTTCCACGTTCAGTTCCTTTGCTATCCCAAATCAATTACTGCAACATTCTGTAACCCTAACATGCAAGGTGATATGCATCTCCAGTTTACAAAATCTGAATCCAACAGTTCTGATGTATGCTCCTGCACAGCTCCTTGGTTCCCATCCACAAGCAATCAGCTGGCAAATCAGATGTAAACCTAATGTCAGCACCTTCCTTTTTTTTTTTTAATAAAAACTTCCTGTGGTTGCATATTGAGTTTTGTATTGCTTACTGACTATTACTACTTTGGTGCCATTTTGGATGGCAAAATTAATTATAAATAGCTATCTTAATCTCTACTGAAATACAGCCTTCCAAAGAAACAAGCAGCAAACTACTCCACAAGCTGATTAGCGAGGCCAATCATGCTCAAGTTCCTTAAACTACTTGCAAGATCTGCACACAAGTTAATTCAACTAACAAACTAACATCCTGTGAGTTTTTCCATTTGACTATGACTTTACTAGCTGAGTTTTTAGAGTAATAACTAACAAGATAAACTCAAAAAGACATTGCTCTTTAAAGAGAGATTACCTGGGGCAGGGAGTTTATCAGCTAACTGATGCAGACTTTCTGCAGCTTCATCATAAATGCTGGAGAGAACATGGTTGGAAACAAAAAAGTAATTTAGAAACAAAAAGTTACAACTAATGAATACTACCTGATGTAAGTATCTTATATCTTTAAAATTCTGCAGAAACATATTGAGGCAGTGAGATATATTTATCTCCCCTTTTACTGAGGCAGAACTAGGCCAAATGACTTCAAAATAACCTGCAGTAAAACTGGAAGTAGGATTCAAGACAGTCAGCTTTCTCTTAGCAAGAAACTTCTTTTTGTATACATCACTGTCAGCTGTTAGGAAACTGTTCAGATATTCTATAAAAATCATTTGTAGCTAAAACTATGTTAAACAAAATAGAATTATTTTCAGTTGTAGTAGGGGATTGTTCATAGTTAACTGTTGTTCTGGTAATAACTTGTACTTGCTAAATTTTCTTGATTCCCTTGGGTAATTACTGTTAAATGTCAGATCACTATAGTTTCAATAAAAATAATAATACGCATACTCAGTCATAGACAGTGACTCTCTACTGTTATTGTCTTCTTCCTCAAAATTCTGTATGGCTCCCAGGCATTCGTCAATACTTGTTTGGAGAGAGTCTTCATTTTTCTGTGTGTCAAAATTTATTTCCTCCCAGTCAGAACTGCAGAACTAATCAAGCGAAAACCATTTTGAACATCACAGTTTTACCTTGCACTAGAGACAAGCAGAGAGTTGAGGAACTTACATTCCCTCTTACCTGATAATAACCACATATAACATGACTTGCAAAATACCATTTCTTTACACCTGGAATACCAGCCACAGAACATGCTGAAAAGAGATAAAACAATTATTCAAAATAATCAATCTACTACTATCTGTTCTTCTTATCATAATGAGCATCTTTGTTGAAAGACTATGCAAGTCATTTAACATTCCACAATAACTTATGTTCTACTTTACTTTGGCATCATAATTAATATCTAAACATAACTATATTGATGATCTGTTAATAAGTTACTAATCTGTTATTTATGACTGTTAGTAAGTAAGAAGATTTTTGACCTCCTCTCCATGCTGACTGATATTGCTCTCCATTTGCAGAAGTTGTGTCATACCTAAACTAAATCATAGCTTTCATAAATAAGGTTTATGCAGTTCACAAAATGAGATGCTCTCTCAACACTTCTATGCAATAAAAAGCAGAAGTTGAAAACAGATTAACATTCCTATCTTCATTAATTTTAACAGCTTATAGTGTTTTCCCCACATGAATCACAATTAGATGACAGCTGCAACAAGATGAGCCTTAACAGCTGAACACTACATATCCAAACCAAGAAAAGAATTAAGAAAGTGTTTTCTAACAAAAAAGACCCAAAGACCCAACCCCTAAAGTGCTAAAGCAGATCTTCAGAAATCTATTTTAAGATGATAACGTGATTTAATACATATTCATGGATTAGGGTTTGGAATTGCTACCCAACAGATAAATACTGCTTTCACTGAAAAAAAATTAGGAGATATCATAGGAGTAATGAAAACATCAAACTGCATGAGAAACAAGCCCGTTTCTACTCTAACTTGCTGTTAAGCTGGACTGAAATTTGTCAGCCTTTCAAAATCCTTGTCTAAACATATTTAATGATCGCGTAACACCTCAACTGCTGAAGTGCCATCAGTTCTCTGCAGGAAGAGCAGCAGCAGGAGCAGTCCCACCTGCAGAAGTTGGGTTTCCTTAAACTTCTGCCTTGCTTCACCCAGATCATAAAATTTGCCTAGGCCAATTCCTTGATAGCATTTGCCTTACATTACTGTTCATTACTGTATTTACCTGGGAATGCGCTCACATCTGCATTTATAGATGAGTTACAGCTTTCTTTCAGGAACTGATAAACGTTTGCAGCAGTCCAAGCTGAAAAAAAACCCCAGTTTTTCTTAAAACTACTGAATTACAGAAGTAAAGTCTTGCTTAGACTTAGACGTTTTTTAAAATACTCGTTAAAGTAGCACACATCTCAGGAGCGCTCTACCTAATTATGCAGCAGTGCCGCAATAAAACACAACCCTCCCAAGTTTCTTAAGGTTTAAGTCATTAAAGATTGAAGGGGAAAAAAA